CACCCACTCACCCACTCACTCACTCACCCATTCACTCACTCACCCACTCACCCACCCACTCACTCGCCCACTCACCCACTCTCTGGATCCCTCAGGTTTCCCCTGCTTGTCTCACGTGTTGTGAATCACGAGGACCTGGCAGGGGCAGCACCTGCCCATGGCGAGTCCACAGTCTGAGGGTGGCAGACCCAAGCAGGTGCCTGTCCTGTGGCCAGGGAGTGACCCAGGCAGTTGAGGCCAGTTGGGCTGGGGGAGTATCTGGAGATGGCACAAATGTCCAGGTGCCAGCTGGGAGCCCCAGACAGTCAGGAGGTGAGTGCTGAGTTGGGTCAGCAGGTGGACCTGTGGGAGTCTGGTTGGACGCTGGGGTTCTGGAGCTCTGTGAGCTGTGGGGCCTCCAGTGCAGCTGTCGAAAAGACTGCCAGGGGCCTCTCAGACTGCCCCTCCCTGGGCAGTGGGCTTCCTGCCATGAACTGCAGGCAGTGGTCACTGCTCTGTCCTCTCTCCAGGTCCTGCTTGTGAACTGTCTGGTCCAGGCAGGGCTGGGGGCTTCTCTCGTCCCACAGGAGGGCCATGGCAGGGCTGTGACCCTGGCCTGGCCCAGGCAAGAGCATGGGGCAAGCGCCCATTGCTGAGCTGGGCACCCCCCTGTGTGAGGAAAGCAGTGCAGAGAGGAGACCACAGCTGGGTCCTGGGCTTGGCACTGAGGTTGGGCTTGTGACATGGGTGTGACAACACCCAACTCAGGCACGGACTGAACGGCAGCCAGTGGAGCTTGCCTGTGTGCTGGTACCTGGTACCCACTGAAGCCGCTCTGCACAAGGAGGTCTGGCCCCGGCCAGCTGGGCTGCAGGACAACTGTTGGGGCTGGGGGACCCTTGGCTGCAGTGTCCCTTGGCTGAGGGCTCTGTTGGCTGAGGGCTCTGTTGGCAGGACTTGTGAGGAGCTGTGCCCTCCACGGCCAGGTGTGGGGTTGCCACCAGGCCGCTCACTGCTGGGTGGCTTGGGGGCATTTCCTCCCTCTGGCCCCGAGGGCTTGGCCAAGCTCAGAGCCCGCGGGCTCTCCCCTGCAGCTCTGGGGAACTGCTAGGTGGGCAGAGCCTCTGAGGGGGGCAGAGCCTGGGGAAGCCTTGCTCCAGCTCTGCGGAGTCCCCACTGAGGGCCTCATGCCAGGAGGACGGGGCAGGTGGGGCTCAGACCAAGGGACTTCTGTCTTGGGTGGAAGTCTTGGGGGCCCAGCAGGGCTTGGAGCCCGTGGTCCTGTGGGGGCCCGAGTTCCCTGGGGTCAGGTGACAGTGTATGACTGCCCATGGTCCCCTCCCGGTTCCCATGCCATGGTGCCCCCCAGCACCCTGGGCCTCTCCTCATTTCTGTTTCCCCCTGCAGACCCTGCCAGCAGGGGAAGGGCAGGGTACCCGAGCTGCTGACACCCCCCTCACAGCCATTGTGAAATTTCCTTGCTGGTGTGACCTGGAAACTGGCTGGAGCATGCGTCAGGCCAGAGGGTGGGCGTGGGAGCCACGTGTTGTGGAGGAGAGCGAGGAGAGCTTGACGGGACCCCGGCCCGGAGAGAATGGCAGGAAGCCGCTAATCGCAAGCAGTTTTTCCCAGACCAGTTCCAGCACTGGTGTCGGAGGTGACCAGAGAGAGAAGCGGAGGGTGGGGTATCGGGTGTGGGCTCCACGTTGGGGCTTCCTGAGAGCCCCGTGGCAGCAGGCGTGTGCCACTGCGGGGGCGAGTCCTTTCTGCTCAGAGGTCCTCTGGCCCCCACCCTCCTCCAGTTGGGTGACATGGTTTGCATAGGCCCCCCCCATGTTCCAGCTGTTGCCACTTGGGTCCTGGCAGGACCCTCCACCTGGGCGGCCTCCCTGAAGACGGGGAATGGGCAGTGTGGCCGCCTAGGTGCCTGGCAGGGAGCAGCCCACTCCCCAGTTCCTCTGCGTGTCGACCCTGAGCTGGACACACAGGGATGAGGAACCGGAAAGACCGATGGCCCCTCTACCTCCGTTCCTGGGCTGGACTCAGCCCTGCAGCGAGGTCCGCTGAGGAGGCCAGGAGGTGGAGCCTGCGGAGGGCATCAGGACTGGTGTGGAGAGGCCGCGAGGGGAGTCCCGTCCTGTGCGCTGTTCAAGGAGCAGAGTTCAGTCATTTTGCAGGACTTCTCAGGTCCTTGATGTGCCAACACTCACTGGCATCC